ACATGCCGAGGCTACAGATTAAAAGCGCGCTCGTGCTCTGTGAGCTGCATTACTACAGCACTGATGACAACCCTGTTTAGGCCCTTTTAATCATCTGTTTTAGCCAGCAGTCCTTTCCTTGTAGTTCTTTTGCAGTCAAATAATAAGAAAGCAGGAATAAGGAAACTCAAGTATTAACTACAGCTCTACATGTGCCGGAGGATGCTACGGGTCCAAAGCTCCAGAGAAAGTTGGAGGTAACACCGGACTTTCTAAGTGGAGTTTTAGTAGTGTTTGTGAACACTTGACCTTTGACACATCCTGCCTCATGGCTTGGCCTCGGGCACAGATGTCGGCGCCGTGTTCCCCTCGGCTCTCGGAGGGCTAAGCCGGTTACCGGCCAGGCGCTCTGTGGATTCCTCGGCCTCTGCCTCGGGCCCAGCTGCTGGGGAGCTTCATGGCGACAAGCTGGGGATTCAGATCTACTTTAAAACTGGAGTTGTTGGTGCACTTCCACCAAAACGACTGCACTATAAATTCATGAAGCACCTCATCCAGATGTTTTGCTCAGAGCTGCCAGATAGCATCTGTCTGCATCCGATTCGCAGACATCTCCGTATTATAGAAGAAGTGAGTCGGGAATATAAAGAAGAGTAATAACGTCATGAAAAGAATAAACCAGACGAGTGCTTTTAATACTGATCATTGTTCAATGGAGCATTCATACCTCTGTCAGAGATCATCGTCTGTCAATGTTAACATCCAGCATTATTAGGTTTAATGTAGAGAACGGCTAAAAAGGCCTGATCATAATAGAACTTCATTTCAAGACTCAATCTCAGCAGAAATACTGAGTTTGAATCTGCAGCTTGATTCATATGAATGTCTGAGGCGAGGCCGGACCAACAGAGCCATCTAGTGGCGATGTTTGGGAAGTGTTCAGCAAACGTGGGTTATTCTAGAACAGGGGTGGGGAGCTCCAGGCCTCCAGGGCCGGTGTCCTGCAGGTTTTAGATCTCACCCTGGGTCAACACACCTGAATCACATGATTAGTTCGTTTCCAGGCCTCTGGAGAACTTTAAATCAGCTGTGGATCTAAAACCTGCAGGACAGCGGCCCTCGAGCTCCCCACCTCTGGACTAGAAGAATCACTTCAGGTAAAAGTGACAAATTAGGTCAAGTGTTAACATCTGCTGAAGACAACAATGGAGTCTATAAAAGGTGAGTAAATAGATCCTAACATCTAGATTTATACATTTAAATGTTTTAATGAAAGTGTCCACGAAGGATTTTAGTTTAAGCGTTCAAAAGATGATTTTTACACGAGTAATAAACTGAATTATCACCCAACTGTGGTACCTCTTAAGTTTTAGGCCTCCAGACTTCCCAGATGTCAGCGCTGATGCGTCTCTGGGCAACTTCCTGGAGGATCTGTCGGAGCATTTTGATGTTTTTCTGGCTTTTGGCGAGTTTGTGGCCACGATCAGGCTACGCGGCTTTGTTTGGTACTGTTTGTACTTTGGTGAAACACACAGTCTGTGCTGCCCAGAAATGCAGTTCTTTACAGAACGATGGAAACTCCAAGTTTTATGAAATATGTGCACGAAGCAGTGGAAACAGGTCCAATTAAAGCATGGCGAGACATAACAGGGGAGGCTGGATCCCAGGTGTGTCGTTTAAAAACCAACCAGCTGGATTATTTTTCTAAATGATACACATCTCTGCAGCACTGAGACTTTTTCCACATTAGCTGCAAATTTACAACTGGAACAAATCAAGAGTGTGGAGGTCACGGCTTCCCAAATATGTAGCATACATGTTCATGCATGCACATGTGTGTATATGTATGTTTATGTAAATATTTGAACTCTTATCTCCAGCTTGCTGCTCTGCAAAGTGTCAAAAAAACCAAAATATGTAAATCAGCACAGCTTTTTATGCAATTTGTCTTTTACCCAGAATGCATTGGATCCGAAACCCAGCTAAGACGCTACTATATGTGAGAGTAACACAAGCCTGGTGGGCATGAGGAAGAACGCAGGGTTAAGGCTTCAGTTGTCAGACCTGGAAGGTTAGCCTATTAAAAACGGCGCGTGGTGTAGCCAGCGTGAGGAAGCTCGCTTATTACAATGTAACAGCTGACAAGGATCTGAACTTTCTATTTCGTGTTCCTGAGCGACGGCCTGACCTGCACTTCCTGCTGAGCACCTGTGTTCTCCTTTAAGAGGTGCAGATTTGCGACACAGAGGTGTGAGCGTATATTTCACATCCCTTGGACAGAAGTGATAAATCTCTCCGAGCACACGTT